TGACGTGTGTTTTGTAGAGGCAATTAAGTTAGGTCATGGTAATGGAGATCGATTGGGCAATCATGGTGGTCATGCTCCTACGATGGAAATCGTTTCGGTTTTCAAAGAATGGGCGACAAGGTTAAGGATAGACTAGTTCTAAGTGTCGATTGGAGTTGAAGAGACACTTAGAGTAGTTTAGGACTTTGTTTTTCCTTTGGCCGTACTATTAAGGGGGGTATGGACGGGTAGCTTGACCTAGGTAAGTCTAGTGAGTTAGGTGTGGTGCACACTTGTCAAAACTAGCGCTAGGTAGCTCCTACATATGCGTAAGATCCATTGGAGCAAACTTCATTCATGTATGATCGAGAGTTGGAAGTGAATGGAGGGTCAAATACTGACCGAACGCTAGGTTCAGTGTGACCGGACGCTGGCACTGAGTCCGGTCAGTTCATTTGACCGAGGTGAAATTGTTCGGTGCGACCGGACGCTGGAAGGTCAAGTGACCGGACGCTGAGAGCCAGCGTCCGGTCGTTTCCAGTAAGGTTCCAGAGAGGGAAAATCGTGACCGGACGTCCCGGACGTCACATGTAAACACTAGAGTTCGGGGTATATTGACCGGAGCGTCCGGTCACCCCTGCAGAGGCACATAACGGTTCGTTTTTCACCCCATGTTATAAATAGAAGCTCCACTCGTGTGTGGAGTTACTTTTGCTCATTCCAACAGCTAAAACACACCTTAGAGAGTGCCAAGAAGAGCAAGGTCCTAGTGAGGTGATTGAGATTTGAGAATCTCAAAGAGAGCCCTCATTAGTGAGATCAAGAGTAGCAAAGTGTGCATCCACCCTTCTCCCTAGGTTTGTCGTGGCCAAGTGAGAGTTCGTGCTTGTTACTCTTGGTGATCGCCATCACCTAGACGACTTGGTGGTGATTGGAGAGCTTGGTGATCATCCGAAGAGCTTGTGGATGACTCAACTCAAGTTGTGAGCGGTTGTAGGTGATTCATCGCGATGGAGTGTCAAAGAATCAACCCATAGAGAGCACTTGATCCTTGCGCGGATCAAGGGGGAGCTACACCCTTACGTGGGTGCTCCAACGAGGACTAGTGGGGAGTGGCGACTCTCCGATACCTCGGCAAAACATCGCGTTCCTCCTTCTCTATTTACTTTGAGCATTTATTTTGAGTATTTCCTTTGAGTAATCACTTTGAGTATTTACATTGAGCAATTCAATTCTTGTCTTTACAATTCATAGAATTGCCATGCTAGAGTAGGATTGGAATTTAAGTTGCAAGTCATTTGTGCGGTAGAACAACTAGAAACACTTTTTAGGTATAAGGGGTTAATTAGGCTAACATTAGGATTTAATTATTGCAAGAGAAATTTAGAATTAGCCCAATTCACCCTTTCTCTTGGGCATCTTGATCCTTTCGCGGCTGAAAAAACAAGCCAAACAAGCCGAATATATGGGGTAAGCCGAACGGGGCCCATGTGTTGTTCTTTTTATTTTCCACTATTGCATGTTTTTTTCTTTATGTCTTATTGTGATGTTCAGATGCTATACATGTGATGTTTTATGATGTGTATTATAATATTCACGTAGTATAAATATGATGCTCCATGATTAACTTTGAATATTCACGTTATACTTGTGAGATATTTTGTGGCATATTTTGTTGTTCCAGTAATATCCATGTTCTGTTCTAAGTGTTTTTTATGTATTTACTTTTGATTATAATTTTATTTTTTATTTCATTCTTTCTTTCATATTTTCATTACATTTCTTCAGTTTCATGGTTTCTTTTTTATTTTTTTATTCCATGAGATGTTTGTACCTTTCAATTTCATTTTTCACCCCTCTTTTATTTTCATGGCTTGTTTTTATTTATTTTATTTTCTCTTATGTTTTGTTCTATATTTTATTAGTTTGATTTTCTATTTAATTTATTCATTTAATTTTTTTTCATATTTTCTTAGCATTTATTATTTATTTTTATCTCCCTTTTTTGTTCTTCTATATTTTACTCTAATGAATTGTTTTTCATTATCATGTTTACTTTTTATTCTTACATTACATGATATATATGTGATGTTTTATGATGTACTTCCTCCGGTTTTCTAAAGGATGTCGTTTTGAGGTCGTCTTAAGTCAAATATTTTAAACTTTGACTACAAATAAATTCTTTTGGGTTGAGTTTGAAAATATAAAAGTGATGTAAGTAGATTCATCTCAAAATTGTTCATAAAAGTATATATTGACTATATTTTATAAATATTTTATAGTATCCATATGATGTTCTACCATGTGTTTTCCATTGTTTTCATACTGTCCATGAGATGTTCTATGGTATATCTTAGATTGTTTATATATTGGCCTCGTTCGCTTGTCTTAAATTTGGTTTGTTCGGCTTGTTTTTTCAGCCGGAACAATGTTTTTCTCTCACAACAATTCAGCCGGAATAGTGTTTTTCAGTCAGTTTCAGCCAAAGTTCAGACCAGCGAATGGGGCCATTATCTACTAAACTTACGTGATATATTTTCAACTATTCAAATGGTATGTTGGTACCCATAAAATATTTCATGATATGTTTAATTTTTCTTTACTTTTTTACTTTTGATTATTGTCTCTTTTTATTCAATTCTAATGGTCTGATGCGGAGGTTTATAATAGTATAAAATTTTTATAATCAATACAAATCGTCTGCGTGGTGTAGCGGTGGGGAATGAGTCGAATTACTGTCCTAATCGTCTACATGGTGTAGCGGTGGGGAATGAGTCGAATCACTGTCCTAATCGTCTACATGGTGTAGCGGCTTCGATATCTTGTTTTCAACCCCTCTAGGACAATATTTTTGATCCTCCTATTTTCTAATAGAGTTAAATGAACCGGAGGCCTCGAACTTGTAAGTGTGTGTCACATAGGCCCTTGAACTTTAAAAATGCATTTCTGTCCCCCTAAACTTGTTAAGTGGTACACCACAGGCCCATACTTGCCATGCGGGCATTTTTTGCTGACGTGATGTTGCTACGTGGCAAAAAAATATATGCACCAAACTTCCTAAAACCCAATCCGTGTCGCTGTCATCGGCATGGGAGCCATCTCCGCACAGAGGTGCTCGCCGTCAGGAAGGACAACGAGGGGAGCATCAGCGGCTGGAGGGTGAGGTGGCACCGTGGCGCGTCGCAGAAAGCACAACCCTGGCCGCCGGTGATGCTTCTCCTAGTCGTAGGCCAGACCGCGTGTGCGTGGCTCCTATCGGCGATGCTTCTCCGCGCGAGCTCTTTGACCGAAGCCACGCTGCGGAAGCATCGCCGACCGGAGCCACACGCACGCGGTCTGGCCTGCGACTAGGAGAAGCATCGCTGGTGGCCAGGGTCATGCTTTATGCGACGCACCACGGTGCCACCTCACCCTCCAGCCGTTGATGCTCCCTTCGTTGTCCTTCATGACAGCGAGCACCTCTGTGCGGAGGCCGCGGATTGGATTTCAGGGGGTTTGGTGCATATTTTTTTTGCCACGTAGCAACGCCACGTTAGCAAAAAAAATATCCATGTGGTAAATATGGGCATGTGGTGTACCACTTAACAAGTTTAGGGGGCAGAAATGCATTTTCAAAGTTCAGGGACCTATGTGTACCACTTAACAAGTTTATGGGTCTAGAAATGCATTTTCAAAGTTCAGGGGTTTATGTGACACACGCTTATCAATTCGAGGGCTCCTGGTGCATTTAATTCTTTCTAATATATATGATAACTAGCAAATATGTCCGTGCGTTGCAACCGGATAAAAAGCTACTGAATATTGCGCTGTAGCGAACGTCCGCGGTACTGTAGCAGACAGTCCGGGATCTCGAGGCTGTGCTGTTTTCTTCCGTTCTTGCGCGTTTGTGCTCCGATTCGAGTTCCGTCTTTTGGGTTGGCTTTTCACTTATTTAAGGAACGTATCTAGGTACTCTTGTCACCAGTTGGTTTTGGTATTTCAGATTCTTCTTGCATCTGGTGGTGATTCTGGGACGACGGCTGAATATTTCGAAAGAAATTTGAGTCACATTCAAAACCCCCCCTCCCCGGTCGTCGTTTTCGGTCCTTCACTAGGTATATATTAATGGGCATGGGTAAATACGAATTGTTATTGTTCTATTCTGCCTATTTGTCGTTTGACGGGTGATCGCATTTTCATAAGAAACATATGTTTCTCACTTGTGTGCAGATAGAAGCAAGCCGAAATGTACAATTGGGAATGTTATAAGCTTATAGCTGCCTGTCTGCTCCAGCTTCCAGGTGTATGTATAATCTGGACCCCTATGCTGCGCACCAATCGCATGACCTTCGGTGTGGGTAACATATTGTCTTTAGTGGCTCAAGTCTTTGTGATCTATAGTATAGTAGATTCATGGCCAACGGTTGTAGCTTCCAGTTCCCAAAAAAAAAACGGTTGTAGCTTCCAGCGCAACGTGGAAGTGGAAGGCCAATAGGACTGAAAAGCAAGTTCTGGTCCTAGCTTTTTAAAAGTAATTATCTGAAGTGTTTCTGATGACGAAAAGACAATGTAACGCGTGTACTCATTGACATGTTATGATACGAAATATTTTCTTTTCTAAAGTCAGGTGTCAGAAAATGTATTAAAAACCTGTAGTTGGTGTGAGACACTCATCCTTTCGCGGACCGTGCTAGTTATACCAAAAGCACATGTACGAATAACATCTAGTTCAATCTGTGTTTTCGTAGTTGAATATCTCATTATGAAGATACAAATCTTCGTCATTTCTTATCCAAGAATGCATTTCTGCAGAAAAACACTCGGACAAATGAAACACAACACAACATACCAGTACTGACACTACAGATCGTTACATGATTATTATTAGGAAAACACATTACATAACTAAAATAATCATTGACCACCTAATGCCTTTACTAGGACATGGTCACAAATACTGAATTCAGCACAACCAACGCGGCAGCTATAGGTCGGGCATGCCGATTCCTGATTTATCATCGTAGGTTTTCTCCAGTACAAGCTCAATCGGTGTATCCTTTGGGCCAGCTGCATGATTGGAAGTAGACAGTTAGATCAAGAACAGAACACATCCTGTAACAAAATGAACATGTAAGGCAATGCTCAAATAGAAACAGAATGCATTTTATTGCATGCAACAAGAAAACAGACTATCAGTGCTTTTTTTATTCCATACAAACCCACATTACATACCATCTCACAAACATAACTCACGCATTCAAACATGAATCTGCAGTAGGGTGATTATGGGGTCACATATTCAAACATGAATCTGCAGTAGGGTGATTATGGGGGAATCAGTTGTCTAACATACACAATATGTATAGCATTCCAATGCTTAAAAAAACTCGTCAGGATGGGAAAATAAAGGAAACATCAAATATAGCTACCAGTCTACCACATGCTTGTTTTAATTTGTGGCACAAGAAGTTCCACTTAGTTTACTTACACCCTTTTTTAGTGAACTAATACAACTTGAAAAACACTGTATAATGAGCATGTAAAATGTGTTATCAAGGCATGCATGATGTGGATCACCATTAGTGAGCTTAAAGAAGTTTTTATGAGACATACGTGATGTGGGTCTCGGTTTTCTTCTCTCCTTCAGAATTTCTGGCCGGGGTATCACAGCACCAGATGCATTCATCCCCCTAGCGAACCTGACTTTGGTCCCATCTTCCAAATACTTATATCCAACCTTACATGGTTTCCTGTGGTAAACATTGTGTTGACAAATGATTTTACAAACTTAGAGGTCAATAAAAGAAATATCTCTATAGGTAGTAAAACATGGTCAAGTATCATATGCATACCCAGTGACAGGATCAACTACTTGGACATTTGACACATGAAGTGGAGCTTCAATCGAGAAAATACCACCTGTGTGCCCTTCCCCTTGTTTAATGTGTTTCTTTACCTAACATGATGATAGCTCAGATATTTATGGAGTTCCCGACATGCAAGAGATGACAAGGCACATGATAAATGAAAATGACATTTTCCCCTTTGCTGGTTGCAGTTAAAAGTACCCAGAATAGACAAGCAAATATGCAATGCAATTTTAGTAAAGATACAATGGTATTAGAAAGATGAGAAAAGTATAGTTTTGTTGTTCTTGTTTGGTATTCACCACAGCTGTTCCATAAGACAAATCAATTGGCTATGATGTTATCAAGTTTATTAAGTTATTGAGCATCAATTGATTATGGGCTTATGCTTATGTGATTATGTCAATATGCAACAGTTGATACAGTACACAGGCGTTCCCCGAAGAGAATCAGTAAAGCATGTAAAAGGACACTGCAATATGAACAACAGAATACTGGTTTGTTACACAGCAAGAAATTATACTTTTCCTATGCTACACAATCAAACAAACTATACAAAAAAATGGATATTGACGGGTCTGTTCCCTCAAGTGCCACTGCTATTCTTTGATCTCTAACCAATTCATAAAGCTGAAGGCCTACATCCACGTATAGATACAGAATGTGCACAACTATTCAGTTCTCACTCACTATTAATATGTGCTCTGTTCCTCTTTGCTATCTTTGTGCCAAGATGGACATGTATTACTTTTAGGGAAAAGGCTATATCTATCATTTGGTATTCACAAGTCAAACTCATACTCAACCTCAAAGCAGGGCAATGAGGGTAAAGGTTGGGCACCATCCAATCACTTACAACACAATGTTCAAAATATGATTGCAGCATTAATACTAGTCTGAGCACCAAAACTTCACACCAATTTATGATGGGCCACCTTTCAATTGCAACAGTGCGGGGATTTCAACATATGAGGGCAGCTTTCAGTTACGCTGGTCTGGTCTGGTAATTTCGACGAGCACCTGGACCACGATGTCAAAATGAGGGGTAGGTTTGCTTAAATCTGATACAGCTAGCCACAACGAACCAAACTGCCGATTATGCAATTGGTATCAGTCCTATGTAGACACAAACTGTTATCTGGTACACTGATTCCACACTCAAGCTAAGTAACTGGGGAAGAACATATAAGGCCAGCAAATTACCAAGTTCTTGCCCTCGACGATGACGCGATTCTGCGAGCGAATGACACGCTTGATGAGACCGGTCTCCCCTTTGTCCTTGCCTCTGATGACCATCACCTGGCAGTAATACGAAAAAAGGAGAATGGGAGATCAGGCGACGAGAAGAGAGTAGGACTAACACTACTAACACGAGTAACTGAAGTGGGGGATGGAGTGGAGCACGAGAGAGGTTACGTTGTCTCCGCGGAGCATCTTCCAGTGTCTGATGAGCTTCTCCGCCGCCTTCCATCCCATCTTCCTCTGAGTGCTGCGGTGGCCGGCGCGGCGAGGGAGGCGGCGGCCGGCGAGGGATGGTTGGCCTGGAGGGAGGAGCGAGTGGCGGTACTGGGGCTGATTGCTCAGAGCGTAAGTGGGCCCGAGTAGTGAAGGAGGTGGAGCGCATGGGCTGATGGGGAAGGCCTGGCCTGGTAGCTATGGGCTGAGCCCAAATTGATCTCATGCACACATTTAACATTTTTTTAAATGTTTCTCAAAAAATATTAACATTTTTTAATTAAAAATATAATTGTGTTTCAAGAACTCAAAACATGGGCTCCACGATTTCTCAAATTTGACCTGCAAACTAGTCATAGCAAAACCTGTAGCTGTAGGTACACAAAGATGCTAGACTAGAGTAACACAAGAGAAATCCCTGTCTAGGAATCTGGATGTAAGAGACCTTTTTTCAAATTATTAGAATCATTTTATAACAGACCCTGGCCAAGCCGTCCCATTGGCAAACCGTTGCTGTTTTAAAACAAAAAATAAGTAAAATAACACAAACAATGTAAGTAAAAAAAAAGTAAAGTACTTCCTCTATTCCAAATTATAAGTCATTCTAAAAATCTTGGAGAGTCAAAGCATCCCAAGTTTAACCAAATTTATATGATAAGATAATAACATTTATGATACTAACTAAGTATCATTAGATTCTTTATTATTTATATCTTCATAGTATACCTATTTGATGTCATAAACTTTGTAATTCTCTCTATAATTTTGATTAAACTTGAGATGCTTTGACTCTCTAAGATTCTTGGAATGACTTATAATTTGAAAAAAGTACCTTTAAAAAAAAAATACCCCAAACAACTGAACAAGGTCTGAGTACCTGGCATGCACAGCAAACACGTACGGAGAAGGCAAATCACTCAACACCAACCAAACCTGATGTGATTTTTATTCATGAAGTACAGTACGTATATATCTGTATCGTGGTACACTAGTACAGAGCTTTTATCAAGATGCTAACACATCACATCTCCGCCACAAGCTTGGACTGAGCCAGCGCCAGATCGAACGTGGTGAAGGAGTGAGGAGCCAGCGTCACCTGCATCTGCTCCGCAGCGTTGCTCAGCTGGCTTTTCACCGGCGCAACCTGCAAGATCGTTCCACAAGCAATTAAGCTTTGTGTTCAGAACAAGTCTCTACACATCGTGACACTTTTTTCATTCAGAAATAAACCAGCCAGTTTGATATATGATCATCGGTACACAGACCTTGTTTGGGTTACTGAAAGAGTTCTCATCCATAACGTTGCCAGATGTGAGAACAGTGGCGGTTGATCCCAGCGAGTTGACACTGGCCTCAAGTTCACTTGTGGAGATCGTGAGGCTAACAGTGTTCGACCCAAAGTTTACAACCTGCATAGAAGCTTCTTGAGATCACTACAGGTTTGTAATCCTTTAGGCACAGGCTAGGATGGATGTGACAGATTTTACTTGCCTTTACTCTTAGGAAGCTATTCTCTGAATCCTGCCACGTAATTGCAGATGCAGCTAGCGAGCTTGAGTACCGGGAACTGATATTAATTGGATGGATCATGGCACCACTGGACTCACGGAAAATTGTCTGCATCCAGTAACTAGGAGTTCCATAATGTTGCCAGGAGTTGAAGACAATAGCGTCCGGGTTCCACCTGATTGTTATGTTCAAACACAATTATCGCAGCGTTAGATCAGCAAGAACACAAGAAACAGGATAAAACCACGGATACCAACGTTTGATCATTGTCGTTCACGAAGAGTGGAGCGTAACTTGCCATCTGAACAATATCACTGCAAAGAACCAACAAAAGGTCATCTAACTCACAGTAATGATTATCTTGGTAGTAGAACTGGAGCAGGCCGAAATCCGCCATGGTGCCTCAATGAGCAAAGACAATATACAAAATATACCAACAAAAATAAGATTGATCATCAACCAACTTGCATTCAAAAGGAGATATCACCTGTTTTTCTCCAGACCAGTAAGGAAAGCAGCTTCAGCCAATGAAGCGAGAAGACTTCCTCTACCCGCATCACTTCTCCAGACAGCGTACTCACTCACAAAAGCCTGTGTTCGAATCATTTCATTAACATTTTTACTGTATAGACAGGGTATGGTGATGTTGTAAATAAGCAAGAAAATCATTGGAGTTTCAGAGAGTCTTCAGAACATGCAAATAAAATCACACATCACATAAGCTCCATATAAATATTGCTCATTGTTCTTCAGAATCGCAACACCTCAAAGAATTGTACCCTCCGTCTCTTAAGGATTTTGCATAGCATCAAAGGACCCATATTATATACTATCCAAAGAACATCCCAAGTGAATGCGAGGAATCCCGAATCAAATATAAATGATTGGTCATGAAAGAGGGCTGTCTCATAAGGATCCTGTGAAGATGAGACTTACCTTGGGTCCACTACGGGATGTTCTGTCAAATTGGCTCCTCATGTTAAACAAAGTCTTAGAATCAGTATAGACCTAGAAGAAAAAAACACTGTTTAAATTTAAGAGAAGGCAAGTTGACCTTGACAATGAATAGTTAGAACCACAGAATCAAGACAGAGAAAAATGAAACAAACAGACTTGGCAGTAAGAACTTTACATGGAAGTCATACAAATCCGCAGGATGGTCAAGTGGTCTAGATGAACCATCACAGTTTGAAATCATTTGAATGTCTGGATAGGCCTCTCTTATAGCATTGTAGAATTTGAGGTAATTACCTGTTTAACAGACATAAAGACCATCATTCCATGCAAATAAAAGCAGGCTTCATATGTAAAAAAACTATAGGTGAAGTATATCCTTTGCCGACTACCACTGGGAGTTATGTTCAGTTTAAGTAAGTCTCTTTGCTAGTACAGGGACATCGAGTGCATAATTGCCCTTGTGCAGAAGACCATTTTTTTGAACGAAACTTGTGCGGAAGACCTTTTCAACTTATTTAAAGGATGCAAATAAAAATGTAGTTGATAAGTTTACCACGGTAAAACTTTTTCCCGCAATCTTCATTTCCAATCGCGACATGTTTCACCGGGAAAGGTTCAGGGTGCCCCATTGCAGCCCTAACAGAGCCCCATGTTGAATCTGCACTCCCCCTTGCAAATTCTAGACTGTCCAATACATCCTGTAGAAAAACAAACACTTCAATAACAATGAAGCTAGAAGAATTATAAGTATAAGAACTACCTAAATCCACAGGAGATATATGGTATCTTATTGAGTTTGTTACTATTCATATAAACAGAATTAATTAGTTCATGGACAATCTTGGTAAATGTGAGTGTACAACTCAAGCTAAGCGTCATCTCTGCATGTAAACTACCTGAATAAAAAGTAAAGGGTCATCCACTGCTGTTATATCCTTTTCAGTATTCATGAAGACAGCTAGAAGATAATAAAACTTCAGCATTATTCAAAACTGATAATATGTGATGGTTCTCAATGTGATCTGAGCAATAAAGTTTTAATCTTTTTTTTTCTCAGATATGCAGGATTTGTATTAAGAAATAAAGTTTTAATCTTGGATATGCTTTCTAGCTCACAAAAAATGAAATTCTATTATAAAATCTACAGTGTTGATATCCAATGGTAATTTGCACCCATGGCTGAGAAAGTACATTGCATTAAAAAATTGAAGGCTCTTATATCATTATATCAACAAATTTTGAAGGCTTTATATCAACAAATGCTTAGTCTACTCGAGGTATAACCAGGGAGCTAAAAAGATACCTTTACAAAAGGAGCAATAGCTACAGTATCAACTTCGTCATTGTGGCTGATTCCTGAGTTATAAGAGAGAAATTCCATAAGTTAAGAAGCCCCACAGTGAGAAAAGATTTAACAAATCTGAAAACAATTACCATTGTTGAATACCCAGATTGGGGCAGCACCCAGGTCCTCTGCAAGCTTTGATGTAGATTCAAAGTAATAGGTAGGGGGTGATGATAGGAAAGAAAAAAGATTAAATTGAAGCAGTGTAAACTGGTACCTGAAGAAACTCATAATATCCAAGCCCATCATCAGTCCAGTAATGCCAAACATCCCCAAAGTGTCCAGGCCTCTCTTCCCATGGACCAATAGATTCTCTCCATCTGAATGCATTTCTTAGCCACTCACCTTCTACAAAACAACCTCCTACAATAGTCGCATGCAATCTATCAAATATATGAAACATCTATGAACATATATAATGTATGTCCAAACGAAGAACCTGATTTTAAATGTGAAAACACAGTGCATACCAGGAAATCTCAAGAACCGTGGTTTTAAATCCAAAAGCATGGATATAAGTTCTGTGCGGAAACCATGCCCCTGTGTGAACAGAGAGAACCGGCTGTAAATACTCAGATAAACTTTTGCACAACGAGAATTACCATACACTAGAAAGAGATCGTTTATAGGTTTCTAGCAAGATGAATGAATCTAATACATTCGGTACACTAAATAGATGACTAACATATAAATTCAGCCACACAGGGTATCCATCAGAAACATTCAATTGGTGGTTACATTCATCAAACAAACCGAAGTAGTGAACTGGGTGTCATACTATTCCTGTTACGGATTATAAGTGGCCAGTAGTTCATTGGTTTGCAGCATGGTAGAGTGCACTTGTCATGTGGGGCAAGCAGTAGTAGAGGCGTGATCACCGCGGCCAGATCAAGACTGCAGGCTTTAGTGGAGAGGCTTCAGTGCAGACCATAATAGCAATTTTGCAGTCAAGTGGGTACCATGAAGTACACTTGCACTGTTGCACATGATCTTAGCCATCCAATATTCCATTATTAATTGGAAGTGGAATGTAGTCATTAAGGATTGCTGAAAAGTAGATCCTCCACCTACTGACCTAGTTTGATTTGTCACCATGCAGAATTAATTAACCAGTGCTTTATACTCAGACGTTCAGTACTAATCTTTATTTATTATTCATATTTTATACATGTTTTTTCTAGGCCTTAATTGTGTTTTTCACTATGAAGACTAATAAAATAATATAACATACCTTGTATGTGTCTTCAGGCATGAGTGATACTTGATCAAGCCATACAACTCCTTTTTTGTTAGTTGTTATTTGAAGCCTTGAGGTTCTATTGGTTCCTTTAGCAACCAGCTTCTGCTCCACTTTTGTCCAATTTGATGTGCCAGAAACTCTGCAGCAGTGCAATCCCTTCAGCTATTATGAATAAGGAAATATTCTCCTTCTTTCTAAACATTGTGAGAAAAAACACTAACGTTATCGTAGCTGATGCCAAGTTTTGCAACCCATCAGAGCTTGTTAATGAAACTGTTAAATCCGTTGTTTCCGGAGACTTAACATACATAATGAGATTGTAAGCCTTCCCATCTTCTATGTTCTGTAAGTTGAAATGGTAGCATTATAGAAAACAAAAGGTAGAAAGGGTATGAAAACAGAACATGTACTGAATATCTGCCTAACATCAGAACATAAAAGGTAAAAAACTACCAGAACAATACAAAAAAAAAAACAAATTGTTACAGCTTCTGAAATTATCCTTTCGCTACTGTTATTGCTTCTGAAAATTGGCATCCTAGTTAATTAAATAACCAAATTGTTGATATTAACAAAATACTTCTTTACGAAACTATCCATTTCTAACACTTATATGAATAAGAAATACACGATGAAATCATACCATGCCCCAAAAACCTGGGTTGTAAACACCAACACCACCAGCTGGGCAGTTATTACAGAGGACCTCCATCCTCAGAGCAACAATGTTTCGACTGAAACATGATGTACGATCAGTCGCCACGAATATGGAGGAGTCATCTCCAATGATGGACCACGGGGCAATGTTTGATGGAGTATGAGAGCCTCCAGCTTCGAAACCTAAAGTAAAAATCCAGCTCGAAAACCTTGAACATCAACATCGGCGGCAACTTTCAAAATAAGTGCATCCAGTGGCATTTCAAAAGGCACACAAAAATCAAGAATAGCTGAGGTACCTCTGTTACTGACAAGCTCTGCCCATATACCACCAGCTCCTGCATGGTTGATCTCCTACAGTGGGTCATGTAGTATATTTTGGATTATTCTTTCTGATTATATGTGGTCAAACATAAGAAGCCGACGGAACTAGCATCTACCAATGAACTACTTCCTCACCTCAAAAAATATCCCAAACAGTGTTTCAGGAATCTTCCGGGCAAGTTGTGGCGAGGCATCAACCTTGAGGGTTGCTGTCTGGGTGGCCTCTATTTCTAAAGGCCGACATCTGCAGCCCACGCAGAATAGAAGCAGAAGGCAGAAGATTGTAGCAGAGAAGGCTTGCTTGAGATCCATAGGCTTCCAGTCTTCCACTTGTGGTAAGCACTAATGCAATGAGTGTGTCTATTGGAGAAATAGAGTATAATTGGCAGGTCAGTTGAGTTAGATGGAAACAGAAGCTACTACAGCATGGCATCTCCATTTTAGAGAGAAATGGAGAAGCATCAGATCAGAACAATCAAAAGGCAAGCACATAGTACTGGTGCATATTGAGTTATCGACCCCCCCAATTTGGATAAACATCAACCAAAACAGTGAACATAAGGTAGCTACTTTACATTCAGCTGTACATAGGAAATTTTTAAAAATAAAATAAAATTGATTTGGTAAATCACTACAAATAGGCAAAGAAGGCCTTTTGAGATTATGTCATCAGACAGAAGCACATGGGATTGTGTTCCAGTTAAAGCAGGGAGCTTGTTTTGTCTCGCAAAAGAAAGAAACGGAGGCCGTCTTGGGAATTCCATCAAACTACTCGCCTGCACCAACCAGGCAACCACCAACACAAACTCCACCAAAATCGGCAACTGAAGACAAAAGATTCCGAAGCAGAATTGGAGTCTGTCGTCGTGGAGTGTCTCACCATGCATCCACCATCCGATGCCTCCTTTCCAAATTCCAAAGGAAGAGGCGATCGAGCTATCGGATGCGAGTGCCCGGCCGGGGGCCCCTGCGCTTAAGTAGAAGAAGAAGGCGGAAGCAGTGGCTTTGAAGGGAAGCGTGCCTACGCTACGGACTACGGAAGCCACGCGAGGGGTGTGGGGGAGGGAGACCTAATCGGGTGCCGGAGACGGCGGACGTCAGGATCGCGCCGCGGCGTGGCCACAGTTGCTTGCCTTGCCGGGGTTGTTGGCTTCGTTCGGCGGCGGTTGGCTGCGCGCGCCCGCCGACACGTGGGTCCCACGGCTGTCAGCGACAGCGGCGCTGTCGCCTTATCCGCATCCATCATCACTTCCATTTTATTTTTTTATTTTTTTTGGTTCAATCAAAGCATTGGTTTTGGATTATATTTCTGCCGGCGCATTAATCATGGAAACGGGAACGGACGAAGGGCGTCGTTGTGGAACGACTTTTGGAGCCTGGTTTGGTTGTGGCCGTATCTTTGTTGTCTCTTATATGCCTGTTTGCTAATCGTCAGAACTTACTCAGGCCTGTTTGAATCATCTAAAGTTTTCATAAGTTGGTCGATTGAATAGTTCAAAATAGTTATGAGCCAGACTATAGTTGTGTTTGTTCAGCTTCTGGAAAACATTTCTCCTGTCAAAAAACAGAACGCTAACCAGACGGGTGGAACTTGAGGCTTTTCCAGAAACAGCTCTTTTGCGTATTATGATTTTCGCAGTTGGACCCTTCGTTTAGCTTTCTGCTCTTCCAAATATATGGAAATAGAGAGATGTTTGAGATAAAATGAGAGGGAATAGGTTTGTTGCATCAGAACCTAGAAATGAAAATTCTGATCCCGGTTAAAGTTACACATGTTGGCAGGCAATTTTGTTAAAACAGAATCCGGAAGTAATAAAAGCGAGATTTTTAAATTTAAACGCTCAGCAGAATGGAATTTGGAGTGACCAAGTAAAGGTTTCAGGCCAAGCCAGCTACTTGGCATAACAAAAGAGCTATTTTCTAAAAGTTCGGTTTTGCACGTGCTAAATTTTTAATTAAAAAACAAATGAAAAGCACGGTTCCTTGATACTATAGCACGGATTTTGATCGATCACGGTCACGCCACCATCAAGAAGTAGTATTCGCACAAATAATTAATTAATCAGGGTATTTAATTAACTAAGATTCTAATAATAACAACAACCGATCGATTAGGAGAAGAATATATACCTCATCATCATCTAGCTAATTGATCATTATTTGACGTGGCGCACGAGATGCTGTACCTGTCACCATCAGACTTAGTCAGGCACTCCACAACTAGCAAACAAAGTGATATGCTATTATCCGTTCCCAAAATCCAGTTTATAACTATACTAAGAACAAACGTAGTGATTAGAAACTAATTAGTATAGATTATTTTGTTAGTTGATCTTTATCAATAGGCTCAACGGTCTATTGGGCCCTTGGATCTGCGCCCTGATCGGAGGCGTCCAACCCTAATATGGTTGGTGGGCCCCCGTGTCACAACACTATAAAGATATGTGGGGATCACGGCTCTAACTACGAGGTTGACCGGAGCTGCCGTGACCCACCGACAGAAAATCTAACCCGATCTAAAGAGAGTGCTACCAGCGACGGGAAGACCCACTGATTTTGCCGCCACCAACCTCACCGTCGCCTCTGCATCGCCATTGGACCTCGCCACCACTACGCTGGACTCCACCGCGCCGAGCTGCCATGACACCGGCGTCCAAGCCGCTACGGCGCCATGGACCGAATGATGACCTAGGGCGAGGTACATCAACAATTTCCTCATCTAAGTAAGATGCTTACCCCTTGATCTACGGTTCAGATGCACTGTGTATCCTAACAATGGTATCGGAGCCGGGTTAACCGTATGTAGATATAGTATGTGGTAAAGAATTGAAAAGAAATCGAAGAGGAACAGAGGGTTCGATCCAGTTCGGATTGAAACCCTAACCCTAACCGAGTAAAAGAAAATAAAAAGAGACCGGGGAGGTGGCGGGCGTCACTCAACTGCCAGTCACCACCGCCACCGCGCGGGGAAAGGTGCCGCACCACCGTCTTCGCCGGCGCGCGGCAAGAAAAGATCAGAGGGTTCAACCGAAGCCAAACCGAAAGAAAAAAGAATCGGGTTAATCCTAACTCTAACGAAATCCTAACCCTAACCCTAATCCCTAATCGGCAAAGAACCAAAAAGAACACAGCAAGATCTACAGACAGAGAAGGGGAAAGGGCATGGGAGGCGGCTCGCCGGAGCTAGACCGACGACCGCCGGTAGCTAACCCTAATCGGGTGAAGCACAGAGAAGAGAAAGGGTGCCGGTTTTGGAAAGGATCTCAAAGCCGAACCCTAACCCGCGAATCAGTATGGGGGAAGAACAACAGTGAACCAAACACTAATCCCCAAATCGGACAAATCTGAGAAGAAAAGAAAGGAAAATCAAAGAAAGAAGAAGAATAGAGCGAATCCCTAACTCTAACCCGAAACCCTAACCCTTGATCCCCAATCGGTTGAATCCGAGAAGAACAAATCAGAAGGGGAAGGGGAGGCCTGCCTCGACCGCTGCTGACATCGCCGTAGTGCGGCTCGCCGGCGCGCGGGGAGAAGAAGGCCGAGCCGGGGGCGCTACTCGCCGGGCTCTGGCCAAGGGGGCGCCGTAGCCAGATCGCTTGACGGCGGCGTGCTCACCCGCTGGGGAGCGCGCTCGTTGGCGAGGAGGCCAGCGACGGCGCCGAGGCTCTGCTCGCCCTCCGTCGTCTGCTCGCTCGGACTCGCCTCGATGTGGCTGAGAGAGTGAGAGAGAGAAGGAGGAGGCACAAATGAGCGTTTAGGGTTCGGGAGAGACCGGCGTCCATGGTTTTGTTCGGGCGAGACGGCCGGGCGACCGTTGGATGCGATCCGACGGCGCAGCGCGACTAGGCCAGTTTTGGCCCAAGCGGGGCGCGTGGCCACGGCGCTTTGCCGGCCCAGGCCCACGTTGCGGCCTGGGTGGTAGCGCGCGCGAGCGAAAACAGAAACAGGCCGGGCCAGATTTCACCGTTTCAGTTGGTTTGGGCCAAATGAACAGTGTTCATACGAGTTTAAGTTTTATTTTTTTAGAAGCAATTTTTGATGATATTTGTCTAGTTTAATATGTCTGTTAAAATTTAAACCAACGGGATAATTTTCAGAGAATATTTGAGAAAAGTTTAATGCTTCTGAAAAATAGATAATGAATTTTCATATTTGCGCTGCTAAAGAAATTGTTTATTCTCCAGTTATTTTGAACCAACGTGATATTTAATTGGAGAAAAAGAGATTTTGACATGATTATGATGTTGTTATTTTCTGACCAACGTTGTTAATAACAATATCATAATTTTAATGATTTTATGCATTAATTCTATTTCTGCCCAACGGTGATGTAGAATTAGTGTATAAGAACAGTTGTATGTTTTAATTTTGATCAACGTTGGAATCAAGGCATGCAATTGTTGTTATTATTTATGTTCTCACTCTATATAAATTGTGTTGCCAGATGGATACAACTTGATGGATTGTATCAAAGATATCCCCACTCTCAAAGGTGACAACTACACGGAGTGGAAGAAAAGATTGACATGGTCTTCATCTTGGCTGAGGTGGACTGAGCAGTCACCTCACCGTGTTCCACTGAGCCTGTGGCACCGATGAGGGAGATAAACAAGGCTGATGCCGCTTGGGCAACTAAAGAGAGGGATTTTGAATCCCAAAAGATGTCCTATGACCTTGAGCATAGGAAGTGGATCACTGCTAATAAAAAATGTTTGGCTATGATAAAGAACACGATTGAGCCTGCAATTATGGGCTCAATCCCAGAGTGTGACACGGTCACCGAGTGCCTCGATAGAATAAAGAGTCAGTTCATTGGCTCTTCAAAGACATATGCTACCTAGCTGATAAAGCAGTTGGTGACAGAGAGTTACTCTGGAAATGGTGGCATAAGAAAGCTCACGATGCGTCGTTGAAATTATGGCACTATTGTTTATGCCATATTTCAAGGGGAAGAATAGAAAGACTAGTTAAGAACGATATTATTTCTCCATTAGAGTTCTTAGATTTAGAATAATGCAGAGAATGCATAAAAGGAAAGTATATAAAGAAAATTAAGAAAGATACCAAACGAAGCGCAGGAATTTTGCAGATTATTCACACAGACATCCGTGGTCTGTTTCCTGTAAAGAGTGTGGATGGTTATGATTTGTTCATAACATTCACAGATGATTACTCCTGTTATGGCTACATTTATCCAATCAAAGAAAGAACAGAAGCATTGGATAAATTTAAGATATTTAAGGCAGAAATTGAAAACCAACATAATCTAAAGATTAAGATAGTCAGGTTCGACCGTGGGAGGAGTACTACGG